TTTTTTTCTTGACTCATACCTCGGATATTGCAGCGTGCTATTTTTTTTTATACTCCCTTATCCAGTGCGCAATTATCGATGCGTCGATATATTGGAAATTACATCGTATCTCGCTTCCGCGTAACGTTGTATATGTTTCTCATTTTGTACAAGACCGAGATGAAACAAGGTAATCTTTGTGCGACCAACGTTGCATCGTTGCAAAGAAAATGCTAGGAGCAATCCCCGAGCCAGCCGTCTTTCTTAAAAGAGCACATTAACATATGCATTGGTGCATCCATTTTATTTACTATCGGGCGTGTAGGATCAAGGAGAGTAATCGTAACACTAAGACAACAACAATAAGAGCAATAACAATTTATCAAGTCGTCGAATGACGCGTCATTTAGGCATCAGAAAATTCTAAAAGAATCACGACGATTATTTATCCCGCTATTTCCGAAAATTGTCGCGAAAATTGTATACCGTTCAGCTTGGTATCACAATTACTCTTAACCGATCCAAGATTCCTTGCAAAAGGGCGAATCAATGGGAAGAAAATGCGAGATATTCCGCAAGAATGTGCGAAATGTTCCGCATATCCACGAAGCTTTCGTCCGAAAAATGTGGAGTTGAATTAATCGGGATTATACGCTGTAAAAAAAAAAAAAAAATATTTGCTACGCTAATCGCTGTATTGTTGAGTAGCGCGCTCTAAAATGTTTTTATTTTTTCCAAAAGGTATTTTCGGGCTTTTACGCGAGCAGTGAAAGCACGATGAATTTGCACTTTCCATGTATGTGCCTCGGAAAGCAAGGCTTTTGTTGCCGTTGTTTTGCCCAAGCATAGTCTTCTACGTCTCACGTAAATCGCATACGAGTATTCCTTTGTATACTATCGATGATTTTTCAGGGAAGGCTTAACGAGACGGTGGATCGGTTTGTGAATAATGTAAAACGTTTCCTTCGAGAACGTTGGCTTCCGGGCCGCGCGGCCAAGATGGAGATTATTTATAATTTTTATCGCTTCGATCGCGGTGGCCTGTACTTTCATTCCCCGCGTGACCCGGAACCTCACCTCGATCTTATCCGGACTGATCTCCGTGCGAACGTCTCGCGCAGGCGTCTGCACGAGGATCGGCTGCGTGTATCCATTTCAAGAAAAAAAAAAAAAAAGAAGCGAGAAAGAGAGAACAAATAAAATAGATTACTTCATATAGCACACAGTTGAGCAAACTGTAATGAAAGCAATGAAAGAAAATAATGCTATTTTTATATGTTGCACTTCATCATCATCTCTCCGCCGTAAAGACCCGTAGTTATATGAAAAGAAAAGATCTATTTCGGTTTTCCTTTTTTTCTTTCGACTTGTAACGATTGGGCCATTTCGTGTCGTCAAAGAATTTCGCCGAAAAGGAGCACGTTTCCGTGGGGAGGAACAACCTGAGGAACCAGGTACCTCTAACGTAAATCAAACGTAATCGTATTCAGAAGTAAAGAAAACCCCGATGATCTTTTTCCTTGTTTTGAAAGTTAGCAGGTTTAGATAACGATCTAGATGATGTATAAAAAATTTAATATACTTCTCTTTGTTTGATGTATATACGTGTCACACAACATCCTTCTCGCGGACGATTACGCAAATAGATTGTGGTGACATGGGAATTTCAGTGCAAGTATTTGCATATCATTAACTCGTGCAATGTGACAAGAAATGACCCAATAATATTACTGTCATAATATTTAGCAGCTTAGAACAATCGAATCGATGAAGAAATATCTCGGAAGATGATCTAAGAGATGCTCTTGCTCACAATTAATCTAGATTACTATAGTAAGATTTACGATTATTGTATTATTACTAATATATCTACATTCCTTTTCAGAATCTACCACTATTACTTTACGAAGCTATCTGTAAATAAGTATTTTGTATTCCTGCAAAAAAAAAAATAAAATTAAGAATCATTATAACTCGTCTGATATTTTTAACGCCGATATAAGTACCGCGTAGACTAATGAAAGTGATACTTTATAAATAATCAGACTTGTAGATAATATGTGCTTTTTTATTAAAACTTAAATAAATTCAAGTTTTTTGAACACTCTACCATCTGCTACCTTAGGCATTTTCCAAGAGTTAAACAATACAGAATGTCACAAGGTTATTATAAACTTTATTGTGTTAAGTTGAAAATTCAAAGATAGACTGAATTCTTATGAATTTTTAATTCTTTTATATGTTTATTTAATGACGATCGAAGAGGCATTAAAATAAATAGCGCTTAATTACTTTTTAATTAAACAAAAATCAATTTCATCTATTCACAGAATTCGTAAGCGAAGTTTATAACTTTGTGGTATTCTATGTGCATATACCGTATTGAAATAACCATTGGAGGACGCAAATGAAAATATTTTGGTCTCGGTTATATTTTTTAAATCATTTTATTTCTTGTCTTGTGTACAGAATATCTCATTAAGATAAATGTTATACAGTTATAATCAATTTTTATAATGATGAATAATATCTACCAAAATTTTTACGTTACAAGCAAAAAATAAGAGACCAGATATCCAGAGAAAACTAAATGAATTAAAACTTTGAAATTCTAGCATATAGGCGCTTAATAGCCAAATAGCTTGGCTTATGATCCAGGAAGACGCTAAGCATATTCCCCTACGCAGACTCATGTCGATATTTGGCAGGCACAGAGGTAACAACGATAGAAACCAGAAGAAATACTGAGAAGTTATCACCGGATTGTATATTACCGCAATTATCGCTTGGATGAACATAGCGAAAGGCAATTTAGATTTTTTCGAATAATAATACGATGACATCAACAATAATACTAATTGTGGCAGAAACGTAAAAATCTTTTGAATTACATTCTGTGGTTCATTAGCGGATAAATACAGCATGTAGAAGTACACGGAAAAATTGTGTCTCGTATCTTTACGCACTAAATGATATATAAAACTTTCGTACAAAAATTTAAAGCCATACAGACAATAACCCGTGGCTGTTAAGGTGACGATCGAGAATGCGCAACTTAGCACGAGCTTCCATTGATCCCTATTCGGCAGAAATCGATTGTCTTTACAAAGAGACAAAAACATGGGTAAACTGAACATCAATGGATACAATCTGAAATGTACGGATATCCCGTGCAAAAATCCAGCTAATACAATTTTATCTCTTTGTAACAAATCCAATGTGAGCACAACTAAAAGAACTGCTAATGAATCTGCGTTACCTCTTGTCGAGATCACCACTGTTAAAGGATTATAGAGCCATAAAAATGCGCAAAGATCTTTTACAATCTTATCACATCTCTGTCGCTCGAGAATACTTTTAATTAGAATCGCGATCAGTATGTCTATTACGGAGAATAAAATTTTTCCGAAATCCTTATGCAACACAACGTTTGGTGTCAAGAACCAAGCCAAAAACGGCGAATAACGGTAGGTATGACGTTCGAATGGTGATCGTTGCTCTATCACGTGTCTCGCAGCGTCAGTGAACACTTTATAATCTACGTCCGTGTACGGTACCGCAAAGTGCTCATCGTGAAAACTAGCGTACAGAATCAAGATCAATCGCAGAAAAAACGCTAATAAACAATGTAACGTGAACGATGAGATATTTACTTTATCGTATATTACAATCATTTTCATACGAATAAAGGTGAGGCGTGTAAAATCAAACACAGACTCACTAATTCTTCTCACTAATCTTTAAACTCGTTTATAATCTCGTATTACTACTCGCAGCGACCTTAACAAGACATTTTTTGAATTCGTTAAACTCTGCGGCGCAAGCATTCTTCTCTAAATTAGATTTCGCCAATACACAGGTCGCATACTTCGACGCCGATTCCTGACATCGAGCTAACAGTATCGGATACTGCTTAAATCTTTCCTTCGCCTTTTTTACAGCCTCCATTCTTACACGCAAGCAGATTTATTTTTTCCTGGATTTAACGTCAGAAAACGATATTGGTTCCATACCTGGTGGTCGTTCAACAAAAAATATATCATAAAGAGGTTTGCTGAACATTACACAGAAAGCAACACTTGCACCCATGAAGATAAAAGTTCGCGGATAACGTTGTGCAAATCCTTTTTTTGGTATCTTATACTTCCTGTATTCATTTGGCATTGCTTATCTTATAGCTTTTCGCTAAAAGTTATTAAAAAATTGTTATTTTTAAAAATAAAAAAAATGAAAAATTATAATAAATTCTATAGTCACTGAAAATTAATTATACAAATCTAATGCAAATAAGAACATACATATAAAGTAAATAGAAACTTACATAATCTACAGTGTTATGTTCATACGGTTTTGAAGTATTAATGCCATCACAAACTACAGAGACAGAAGAATGTTTTATGCAACACTTTCTTATTTCTTCCAGTACCTCTTGACAACGCGAAGGCTGATAAACATTATCTAAAAACAGAAAAGCATTATTTTGTATTTTTTTATAAAAATTCAATATTATCTCGTCATTCATATTTAACAAAAATTGTTACCCTGGCGAATTATACATAATCAATAACACATAGTAATTTGGATAACAAATCTGTATATTCATATTATTCACATATTTCATATGAATACTAACTGTAACTAATGAATAGCATAAATCATGTATATGTTAATTTCTATTAATATAGATTAACTTTAATCTCAATTTAATTCACTCTTTCTATCTTTTTCTAATTTTTAGAACTAAAAAAATGAAAAGTAAGTTAAAGCAAGATTAAAGTTATATTGGTAGAAGTAGGTGATTAAACACAAGTATCAGACATTAATCTTCCATCATTCCTGCTTCATTCAATACATTAACAAAATAACTTCTTTTTTATTTAAATCTATTTCTTTTCTTCTCCTGTTTTTTTTTGTTCCGTAATGTTTCTAATTAGTAAAATTTTTTTAAACGCACTCCAAAAAAGAGGTTAGAAACAAATTGTATTTTATATATCTTTGGATAGATTAAATTATACGAACCTTTCAAACACTTCTGCAATTTACATGCAATTTGTTTGCAGGGATCAGCTGTCGTCATACAGAATAATTAAAAGATTCTTTAAATTCTTTAAATTCTGTTTAAAACATTCTACACGATATACGATGCGATATACGATGTTATGTAATTCTCGATAGTTCAGTCGATATTTACGTTTCCACGATTCCCACGTGTTTTCTTAACGAGATATATCGATTTCTAAAGAAACAAAAAATATAAATTGACATTTCTATTTTCTCAGTAATTACTGCATTCGTTAAACTTGATTTAGGATGTTCATATCTTTAATATAACAAAATTTCGAAAAATATAATTAGTAAAATTTCTAAAGACTCTTTAATTCCTATATTTTATTTTAATAAAATATTTTTTATATACAAGTTAAAATTCAGTATTTTGTACATATATATATATTTATATTTATATTTATACTTATATTTATATTTATATTTATATCAAAATACACTAAAATAATTACATAATATAATTAAAATGTAGAAAGATATATTAATATTATTATCAATTGATGTAGACTTTTTGAAAAATATCAAAAATATTTAAATAGTTCCCAGACGCCTCTATGAAGACCACAGTGGAAAAAGTGGACAAAGTGCAACTACCAGGCTTTTGTATGACGTATACGTATACACGTTACCGGAATGGAAGGAAAATAATTATGTTAATTATTTGATATATTTTTTTTATCTTTTTCTCATTTCTTAAACGTGCTGACGTGTTGAAATGTTATCGTTAGGATGTCTACTTTATTATGGAGTACCTTTACTTGCATTCGTTATAATTTTGGTATGTTAAGGTTATCCTTTAAATTCTTGATCCCATATTTACATTCTCTTTATAAAATATCATCAGACTAATAATTAAAAGCATACAAATAAACGTTTAATAATTAACGAATAATTTCATTATGTACAATATTATATGTGATTATTGTAATGCTAATGTTTTTTTATAGAAGTATATATATCTGTTTTAGTTTTTTGTAATAATATATATGACAAGCGAGCAATATCCCAAAATTTGGAGGGATAAAAATGAGAAATTCTTTTTCAACTACGAGATAGGAAAGAAGGAAGCATTTCCCTCATTACATGATCCTTGGAGTGTACACCTCAGTGTCATTGTACCTGCTTACAATGAGGAGCAAAGATGTAAGACTTGTGTATATATATATATATATATATATATATATATATATATATATATATATATATATATTATATTATATTATCTGTTTCTTTATTGCTGTATTATAAGCCTATTCTGTAATCTTTAATGATAATATGATTATGGTTATATAGTTGTATCAGATATATATTAGAAAATAGTATTGTTATAAAGAGTTATAAAATATGAACTGAACTGTAAAACTTAAAACTTTTCTTTTCTCTTTTCCCAAGCTTCAAATATATATCTTCAATCTTAAATACAATGAATATATATATTAATTCAGCTATAAAAAACATGTTTTACTTATCTAGATTATTAAAAAATGATTAATGTATTCAATATATTTAATGTATATTTTTCTTTTTAATAGTGCCGCCAATGTTGGATGAATGTTTAGAATATTTGGAAAAACGTAGTAAGTCTGGATTAACTTATGAAGTGATAGTAACCAGTGATGGCAGTACAGATAAGACTGTAGATGTTGCACAAGAATATGCATCAAAATATAATACTGTAAGAGTATTAAATCTTATAAAAAATAGGGGAAAAGGCGGTGCTGTAAGACTGGTTAGTAAATCTGACGAACCTTATAATCAACGGTGCTAAATTAATTTTATATTCTGATCTGGTTTATAATAATTCCATATTAATTTATTATTCAAGGGAATGCTTAGTGCAAGAGGCAGTGCTTTATTATTCGCAGATGCAGATGGAGCCACTAAATTTAGCGATTTAAAAAAGTTAGATGAGAGTTTGATAAATGTTTTAGGATGTAAGTTTAAAAAAATTTGAGATTTTTACGTTATCTATTAAATTTTTATATTTGATAATAATAGTATAAATGTATCCTAATACAGCTTTTATGTTAATATATCATTCTAATAAATTTATTTCAGTCGATTATATGAGCGAACCTGAAAAAATCGCATTGTCTGATGCGGTAATATGTGGATCGAGGGCGCATTTGGAAAAGGAAGAAACTGTCAAACGATCTTATTTCCGACTTTTCCTTATGCACGGATTTCATTTCTTAGTCTGGCTATTGTGTGTTAGAGGCGTCAGAGATACACAGTGCGGATTCAAGCTTTTAACGAGAAAGTCAGCAAGAACAATATTTGAAGCATTGCATGTAGAACGCTGGGCTTTTGATGTAGAAATGCTTTACATCGCGCAAACTCTCAACATTCCTATAACCGAGATAGCAGTGAACTGGACGGAAATCGAAGGCTCCAAGATAATACCGTTTTGGAGCTGGTTGCAAATGGGCAGAGACTTATTCTTCATCTGGCTCAGATACACAATTGGAGCGTGGAAGATAAATAAACCTAAAACGACTTAATATTACATTATTAAATATTATATAATAGGAAATTTTAAGACTACTATCATTGACTTTTTTTCCTAATCTTTTCATGTAAAGATATTTATAAAAATATTTTATAATAAAATTATAAAACATTATAAAAATTATATATACAAGAAATCAGAATTTTCGTATAAAGTTTTACATAAAATCATAAACATTATTATAAACAGCATTTTGAATAATAATAGTACAATATATTTATAGAATTAATTGGTGATAAATTAAACATTCATTTCTATCAATATTATTGCAGATTATTTTTTCTAAATATCTTCAAAATAGAAAAAAGTAAAATTAATGCAAGATTAAAGTTAATCTATATATAAAGAAATAGATATAAATGTTTTTTTTTTTATAATGCACACAATAGTAACGTTCCTGAAAAATGTCATCGGGTTCTGACGTCACAGGAAACTGTCCAGTGACGAGTGACCTTACCTAACCTTACGCAACAAGCTAGCATTGGTCGAACCGTATATAAAGTGACGTGTCTCGAGCATCACGCGTTCGGGAATTCAGCGTAGAATAACCGTAGTTGTTTAGCGCGTTATCTGCGTTACTAACGAACGTAATATCGCGTAAGATATCGTATCATTGTTTCGTCCCGTTGACAAATTTCTCTCAATTTCCCACGAAAATGTCTTTCATATCGCCTATGCCGAGCCAGCAATTTCTTTGGGATGTCTTTCAAAGGTAGAGTATTTGCGGTTTCTACAAAATTTACAATATTTTTCCCTGTTATACACAACAAATTATTTCGTAATTATCGCTTTATTTAATGTTATTTAACACATCTTTTTTTTCTAAATATTCACGGATGCCTATGGCTCTTGTAACGAGGCTCCTGTTTCTGAGAGTTTTGTTAGTTTAACCTGAACAATGCAAATTCATTTTTATGTTAGTTATCTTCGTAATTAGTATTTTCGTTTATTAGAATACTTCCTTTTCCTTTGATATTGTCATATGCAGATAAAATGACAGATTGTAATAAATAAATTTAATAACGATAATATAATATTTAGTTAATATAAAACATAATTATTAATAATTTCATCAGAGTGGATAAGGACAGATCCGGTGCTATTTCTGCAGAAGAGTTACAACAGGCTTTGTCGAATGGTACATGGACACCATTCAATCCTGAAACTGTTCGTTTAATGATTGGTAAGATATAGTATATTTTCAAAATGACCATGTGAATACATTTATAATGTATATGTCTATAATTTCCTGTTGCTTTATAAATCTTTTCATGTTTGTTATGTCTCTATGGTGAAAGAGACTGATCATCTATTGCTTGATGCTAGTCTGATGTATGCTGTTGATTCTTTCAAATTGTAGCATGTCGCATATTCTTAGATCTTTTAAGATCTATCATTACAATATGAAATGGTATTATCATTGCATACATGTATGATACCAATTTGCATGGTCTTTTGATATTACTATTATTTTGTTCCTTGCTTTTCTGACACAGGTATGTTTGATAAAACCGATCCTGCTACAGGTATGTTTGATAAAAAGCAATCAGGCACCGTCAGTTTCGAAGAGTTCGGAGCATTGTGGAAATATGTAACTGACTGGGAGAATTGTTTTCGATCGTTCGATCGCGACAACAGTGGTAACATCGATCGCAATGAACTAAAGACGGCTCTCACAAATTTCGGATATCGATTAAGTGATCATATAATTGACATGCTTATACGAAAATATGATCGTGCAGGGCGTGGCACAATATACTTTGATGATTTTATACAATGCTGTGTTGTCCTATATGTGAGTATAGATGTTTGATCGATCTAAATTAAGTGTGGCTTTTGAAATATCTATTGATTATATCTACTTGACTATTACACATAATGATTTTAATTCAAACATATTTGATTAGGGTTTCCACGAATTAAATATCCATTTATATTGAATGAATTCAATTGTCGAAATATTTAAATTAAATATTTAAATAACTTTTAAATAATATTGATTGAACTCATTTTTCTACATATTTAATATAATTTTAAAAATATACAGCTGGAGAAATAATGAATTTACGAGAATAAAAGGAACGAATAATTATATCTTCTATTTTCAGACTCTTACAAGCGCCTTCAGACGATTGGATACAGATCTGGATGGTGTCATAACAATTCATTACGAACAATTTCTGGGGATGGTATTTAATCTTAAGATATAAGTTACACAATGTCATTTTGCAAGAATTTTTTTCTCTCTTGCCTTTGGCAGTTTATTTAATAAGAATACACTAAGATGCCAAATAAAGATACAAGAATTTTAAAATCTATTGTGTAAAACAAATCGGAATCTCCAAAATTAATATTTGTTTCTTTTTTTATGGAAATACATGCATTAATTTCTTAATAAAATTTAATTTAAAAAATTTTTATTTGAAAACAATTGAAATATACATTCATTTATTTGAAGATTTTCATACTAGTATTTTCAAATTTTCATTATTTTTTTAAGTATTTTTAAGTATAATTTCACATATAACATTCCTGTTAAATAATAAATTTTGGATATTCTGAAATCATATTATAAAAATTTTGATCAAACAGGTAATTCATGTCAATAAAAATGTACTATTAAAATACATTCTCTCGAAAAGCGACAATGTAATTTGTTAATACAAGTCAATTATGATGGTTTGTATGTTATAGAAAACATCACTTATTATTATAAATTGCTTGCAAATCAAGTTTGAATGCACTGTGCGACTTCCAGCATCACTGTTATATAAACTGTTATGTAATGAAAAAATTTACGAATATAAGTGTATATTTAAATAATTTTTAAGCAATGAGATAAAAAAACTAAAAATATCCTATACTTTTTAACACACAATTATGCATATTAATATTTATCAATACATAAAGTGTTTATAGTTATGTATTTTTCTATCATTATTAATGTAATTATAATAAATGACCAAGAAATATATTTCTTTTACAAAGTGATTCATTGTATCATTACTTTTGTAAAGTCAGGAGATATAAATTGAATACAAAAACAACAAATCATTTAGTTTATTGTAATATTTATCTCAATAATATTCAATTTTGTTTTTTATAATTTGTTCTAATAATTATTTCTTTTCTTCAGGCTTACAACTCTTAGGCTTCTGACTTATTGATGCGTTAATATCTTTCTCACAATTGGAATATGCCATACCTAGTCCAAAGCCTGCACCGGTTATAATGGGCCACTTCTTTCCTATAAAAAAAATTCAACTAGCCATATAAATATTCTAAGAAACAATAGAAAATTATTGACAAAATAGCATGTAATCTTTTTAAATTTGCAAATTACTTTTGCAAATTGATTAACTAAACATAAATATGTATTCATGTCCAAGTATATTGGTATTATTTATTGAAAGGAATTATTTTATAAATTTTTTTTAAATTTAAATTATAGTTTGAACTGATATTTGATATCAATTGTAATACATAATAAGAAATTAAAAATAAAAAATTAGGAATAGAGAATACAATTTAACATACAGAAATCTATAACTTGAATATATATATTCATAAAATAATAGTGTTTTTTAAACTTAATTAACTTTTAATTAAATTTATTTCTCTGTTCCTTATTCTTTATATTTGATTTCTTATTCTTTATTCTTATCTATCATGTCTAAGTCTTTAGGATATAACAAAAGAAAAACGAAATTAAAAATAAAATATTAGTAACAGAGAATGAAACCAATATATAGCAATTCATGTTCAAATACAAATAAGAAATACCAAAGTCTTCCTTCATTGATCAAAAATAATTTTCTATTTCTAATTTTTTGTATTTAATTCATTACGTCTGATTTCTTATACCAACATTCTAATACAATACGCATATGATCGACCACATATGCAGGTTGCTAACATTTCAGAAATTATCCAAGCAAATCTAAGCATATTCCTGAATATATATTCATATTGATTCCGACAAATATAATTTTAACAATTATGTCATAGAGATGTTAACGACACAAAACACACACACACAACGGATCCCAAGGTGATGCATCTTACTTTTGAAGAAAAATAGAGAAAACACTCCACCAAGAGCCAGGCCGCCACCTGAAAAAAAAGACACGTCAGTCCCGTTATGGGAGATAAATCATCATTACAGGCGACTCATGATAATTACCCAACTTGAGGATTGCGTCCGTGAAACAGCGATCCCACTTTCGCCCGATCTCGTCCTCGGCCCACACGGCGCCGGCCATTTTTATATTATAATGCCGTTGTTACGTCACTCACGAAACGAGACACATGCGTCTGACGATCAAGTCATATTAATCTCCGGCGGTTCATTACGTCGCTGATTCCGTTCACAATTGCGTAGTCAAAGAGACAAAATTACGAAGGGTCACGTTGGAGATTGTAAAAAAATTTGGTTTTCTTGCAGCTGCTATCTTCGTTGGAAATGAGATTTTTTTTGTAACGCGCGCTTCGCGTCGTTCACGCAGGCCTACCAATCGTTTATCCGCTCAAGAATTCGCGTTTTTGTGAAAATCCCGTCTCTCGCTTCCATTTTCGCGATCTTGTGCAATTTCTTCTTCCGGTTTGCGCTATTGCAGGTTCAGATGACTGAAATTATCTATTTGAATTTATTTATCAGAATTACCAACGAGTAGTATTTATTGAATAAGTAATATTTTATATTAGACTATTTACTTTACGATATTTCTTTTTTATTTACTCGCAGGTAAAATTTAGATTAGCATGTGATCCGAAAAGGAAGATAAGAGCCTACATTCGATGAAGAAAATATTAGTTCCGGTCTACAATAGATGTAATAAACCTTATGTTGGATTCAGACCAGCGCAATGACGCGACACGCGATGCGCGATATCCAGCATGAGGCCATATCAGACTAACGATTGTGCGGTTGTCAATTCTATTTCAGCCAATCACAATATAGCAGGTCCTGGTTACGGTCAATGTGATTGGTAATAGTAGAATCGTCAACCGGCAACCGTAGCTGCGCAATCGCTAGTCTGATATGGACTTTAAGCCGTAAGAAATTGACCAATCATAATCGATTATTCTTTTATCACTAGGCCACTGAAAATCTAGTAACAAATGATCGAATCAGAAAGTTTCCGACAGTCGATTGGTCGATTTTTACCATGTGCAAAAAACGAGGGATGGGACGAGAACAGAAATTTTCAGTCTCGCGAGTTTGACTTAATTTCGGACGTATAATTATTTTCAGACGTGCGTATTTTGATCTTTGTGATATTATTCCTTACGCGATATTTTTTTTAGGGTGTAGCGTGATTGAATCGCGGTTGGCCGACCTGCCGGTGCCCGTAGCAACTGATTCACCCACGTCTCGTCGAGCGTGAGTGGCACAGGTGCGCCCTGTCGCTGGCCTGGTCGTTCGCGAGCGTTTGATCGGGGGTGGTGAGGACGAGTCCACGAGGTACCGTTCGTGCGTGTGTTGCGAGATCGCGCGCGGACGGCACCGTGTAAACGCGAGGGTGACGCGAGCGCGCGCGTCGCTTCCTAGCAGCTGCACATCCGGCGGAACGGTGCGGAGCACGAGACGTCGAGAGGAGAAAGAGCGATCGGAGCGGCGCGCTCGCGGCCCGAGTTCGATGGTGCGTGGCGCCAGCGATCAAGAAAGAGGGTGAGAAAAGAGAAAGAAGGAAAGAGAGAAAGAGAGAGAAGAAAAGTGATACGTTGTGTGTCGCGCCTCCGCGTGCGTGTGCGTGCGTGCGCTGTTGACACGTTGCGTGGGCGCATCTGAGGAACGCACGCGTGAATCTTAACGTGCGCGACGAGGGAAGGGACGTCGCGCGTGCGAACCGACCAACCTACGGCGAGAGAAAGAGAGAGAGGTGTGGATACACACGCGCGTGTGCGAACCTAGGGAATCTCGGCGCCGCGCCGTTGTCTGTCCCGCGAGGATCGGCGAACGAGTGCTGCGTGAGTCGCGCCACGAACGGAGCCGCGGGTCGCCGCGCGGCCGAAGTCGAGTGAAGTTGTCTCGAGTCGACGGTACGGGACGGGAGGAGAGCGAGTGAAGTAGCGTGAACCACCGCCGGAGCCAGCGAGAGTACACGAAGGTGCGCGCGGACTCGCTCGCGTGAGAATTCTGCGGCGCTCCGCGCGGCGCGTAATGGAGGTGTCGACGATCGCGAAACGCGCTCGCGGCAGTACTGACACCGGCAGCAACGGCAACGGCTGGAGTAACCGTAGCAATAGTGGCAGTAGCAGCAACAGCAGCGGTAGCACTGTTAGAAGAAGCAGGAGCGACAATAGCACAACTGTGCGCAATAACGACCGCCGTCACAACCGTCACCGCCACCACGGTAATGCCGTGCTGTGCCGCGTCGTCAGAGCGTGAGCCGTGCCGCGATTCTTGTCGACTGTTCCGGCACCCGGCATTCCGGCGGCCGCCGCCGGGTCTGAGAGGCGGGTCAAAATTGCTATGGGATCGTCCGGAACAACGACGCCGTACGACGCCGCACCGATCGTTCGATTCCTCCTGCTACCGTGACGTTCGTCGATCATCGTCACAGGGCCGCGCCACAGGGAGGTGCGTACAGGGAGTAAGAGCGACAGCACCTCAGATACGCTTCCTCGGCACGCCGCGACGCACCGTGCCCTTCCACGATCGCGTCCTACGTGTCGTTTATCGTTCCTAAAACTCGCCCGCGAGGCGCGAGGGATCTCGCTTGACGAGAGGTTAGGCTGGCATGGGGATTAATCCCCGTGAGGTGGCATCGTCCGTCGAACTCTGACAGTCAGCCAGCCAGCCAGCCAGCCAGCCCCCTCGGCAACCTCTCTTCCCCCACCCCTTCCCTCTCCATCGTCGTCACTACCCGCGCGTCCTACCCTTCCGCGCCCTACGCGGTGTTACACCGCGCCCGCGCGTGCCCTTTTACGCCTGCGGAAACTGCGGCGAGTGTCGCGTTGTGCGTTTTGTTCCCAACGTATTGTGTCGCGTCGCGTCGCGTCACATCGCGTCCCGCCGTCGTCGTCGTGTCGTGTGCTCGTCATCCGCGCTCCCGGGGGAGCACAGAGGATATGCCCTGCACGGGGATCGATCCCGTCGCTGACCCAAAACTGACGTCGTCGTCGTCGTCGTCGTCGTCGTCGTCGTCGTCGTCGTCGTCGCAACCGGGGCGCGAGTGTGGTGAAAAATCGTGTGCGCGTAGTTGGATTGTGTGTATCGATAATTAAATTGCTGCAACCGTGGATAACAACGGCCGGTACGAGATGCAGAAGCGGGACGGCAGGGACAACCGCGGCGACAAGGAGCTCGGAGCGCGCAGCTCCGAGCGTGACCAGGAGGTCGCCAAACGGACCTCCAGGGGTAGCGGTAACGCCGCCCGGTCGAACGTGCACTCGTCCCGGCACAGCGTCACCTCGTCGTCCGGCGTGCTCATGGTCGGCCCGAACTTTCGGGTCGGCAAGAAAATCGGCTGTGGAAACTTCGGGGAGCTGCGTCTCGGTAAGTCTCTTCCGCCCTCCCCTTCCCCAGCCTCCCGCTCCGCACGATCGAATTACGCGTTCGAAGAAAAGAGCGAAAACCCACAAGTCCCTGCGATTTTACGTTCTAACAATCTCTTGTATCCTGTATCCTTGTCTTGATTTTCAAAGCGGCAGTTTTCTGGATGCGAAGATGTCTCGACGAATCGCGACGTTAGTCTTAAGGTTTCCTGATAAAATTATAATCGATTTTTCCCTCGCGAGAAATGTCGAGATACTGACGATAATCGGGAACGATAATCGAGTGCGAGTCTCTTGCAAATTTAAAATTTGTTCAGCAGCGCAAATAAACAATGAAGCGCTCTTATTTCTCAGTTAATTCTTAAAATTGACTCTGATGGACTTTTAATTTGGGACTTTCAGTTATACAGAGATTTATAACGTTGGAAAGTGGAAGATGAATGATGGCCTCTCTCGACATATTCGCTGAGAAAGGGTCGACTCCAAATTAAGGCATTCTGTCACTACAATTAAGGTCGCGAGAATTGCGGGACACCCGATATATATCTACGCGAAAAGCATCGTATATGGGTTTTGTTTTTAGACAATTTTAGAATAAAGTTCATTCTCGAACGAGTGATTCGATTGAGTCTGCGATATTTGTAATTAAGATAAACTTCTTATCTTAAAATCTTATACTTATTATTAATTATTACTAATTAACTATATATTAAGTCAATTTTTATTTCACAAAAGTGGCACTGTTAAGCAGATTATCATCTATCTCTCAAAATTTATACGTGAAAGAACATTTTTAATTTATACAAATTCATAAAACGCTAAGAAGAGATAAGATAAAATGCTGTTTCGAGAAACGATTACGGCGTCAGGAGCAATAAAGAAACGCACGAATTTTTTCCTTTTTTTCAAGTTGAAATACGAGCGAGACGAGCCATTGGCCAGCTCACGTGGCCAGTTCACGTGGCCAGCTCACGTGGCCAGCGTTTTCACTCACGAATCGAACTACGAGCAATGTTTTCCATGATATTGCAATCTGCAAGTCTCGTGTAATAGCGATGAAATTGGGAGTTATCAGCCCCTCGAGAGAACTCGCGACGTTTGTATGACTAATGATGTCTGCCGCGTGTTGAAAACAATGATTCTAACATCGGGAGAGGCTAACGCTCTCCCGATTATCGCGGCAATGGCATAATACAGAGCGATTCTACATACTGCCGCTACTTATGTAGGCCGGAAGTCTGCAAATATTGATGTTCCTCCCACAAAGAGCGCCAACGTGTTCTCATAATTATTAACCGCAAACAGTATGAATTATTTTCGTCCGCTTTGCATTATAAAATTAAACATTCGATCGCGCCCTCGATTTTCAACTGGAAGCGTGTGGTTTGAAAAATTATAAAGAAGCTCATAATGCAAAGTATTCTAGCGATTAATTTTAGCATCGCACATAATTATTTTTATAATCTAACACAATTATTTATTAATTATTTTCAAATATGCATCTGACTAAAACTGGTATTATAAACACAGAAAGAAAAATTTTGCTGAGGCATAAATTTAAAAAATTGGTCATATCGAAATATGACTTGAAAATAATTTTATTAGGCCATAATAATTATATAAGGTGCTAAAGTTAATTGCTAGAATATTTTTGCAATATAGTCATCATGCTTAAGCGTTCTGCATTATTATTTTGATGATTCAACAAAATTATTTTCAGATCAATATCTGGTCTAATTTTTATAGTTCAGTAAAATTATGCTTTTGGTATACATATATTATTGTAAAATTAAACAATTTATGCTGATTTTCGATTGAAAATAATTTTATTAGGCCATCAAAATAATTATGTAAAATATTTAAGTTGATTGTTAGGATATTTTTGCAATGTAACCATCATATTTAAGCGTTCTGCATTATTATTATTATTTTTTAATGATAACAAAATTATTTTTAAATCTGTTGACCAAATTTTTAAATACTTCTAGCAGAACCGTTCTTTGTGTGCAAGATATGTAATATCCATAAAATTCTTTTCGTAATTTATGTGATTCGATCTTTTTCGTACAATATTTTCTCGATCGAAACTAACGTCATTATAAAATTTATTACGGTAATTACGGTAGTTTTGGGAAAGCTCTCGGATGTTGTTTCATATCGAAAGGAGTGTTTGCCAAAAGGAAAAATCTGTTTCACGTTCTCCCGGGTATTACAGATACACACTACCTTACAGATGTTTCTTACAGACGCGAGTTTCTCAACAGAGAAATCTTTTGCCGAGCTGACGAAATATCAGGCGGGCTGACACAGCGAAACGGTTTTGCAGCTTTGATGCGCTCGGAGCAACATCTTGGTAGCGTTTCGTCGCGCGGACGATGCTCGGGGAAACATTGCGTTTTCTAACGTAATGACCGCGGTTGTTATTACAAAAGCGTCCATGCGGAAAATCCTACGGCGCTCGATTCCGCTCGCGCGGCTTATACGAGTCGCGATTTCGCTAACGCGTTATTACACGTTCGTAATGATGACTTTGTTAGTAATAATCGCGTTAACGGCTCGTTCGATGTCAACGATTATATTACTCGCGAAACAAACCGGTAATTAACTTTCATCGGTTATTACTATCGGAGATCGTTTATTCACAAGAATAGATAAACTTATCTCGCGACGTGTGCTCGTCTGGGGATGTAGAGACGCGTGGAACGAAAAGATTTAAAAAAAAAAAAAAATAACATAAATTTTGGTTCGCTTCATGAAACATTTATTCAAGATAAACGGGGAGAATAAATGTAGGCAAGATTTCGTTTTTTTTTCTTTTTTTTCTTTTTTTTTTTTTTTTGACAACGCCCTCCTCTTCTCCAGGGCGAACGAAAGAATTTCCAGAAACCGCTCTTGTGTGTGATTCATCTTTGAATACTCACTCTTGTGGGTGAATATTCGTGCGGTTCTTCTACCGGCTGCCTTCTTGAAATGCCTGTCGCTACGTGAGGCCACATAGCTCGCACGAAAAATATTTTCAAGTTTATCGGACGTTCCTACGTTTATAAGTGACAGTCGAGAAGTATAACGCGTTATGTGTCGTCTCGAATAAACAACTCACGTCGAGAATTTAACGTGGAAAAATGATACATTTACGATAGAACGTAGATTTTAATTTTAATACTCGAATTCATTTTCGTTAAGAATAATAACGTTATGTAGGAGAGAGCAACTGAATTTTTGTTAAGAAAAGTTTAATTCCAACCCTGTTGTCGTTTACTGCTAAAAACTGCCTGAGTGTTGTATGTAAATAACCGCGGTGTATTTCAGTAAAGCACGAAAACTAACGCTCGCATTTAGTGAATTTAGTGACATCTGATATGCCATTGATAACGGCATGAGTCATTGACAATTTTAAATTGCTTCACCACATTACACCGCCTCTTACGCTTGCATCAGCGCGATATATTACCTTTCTTTTCTTTCTTCTTTCCTTCTTTCTTTCTTTCTTTCTTTTTTTTCTTTTTCTTTTTTATCGATTTATTATTCGAAAACATCGGGATGAGAGTCCTCGAAAAAGGTGATTCATATTAGTAATATTTTCTGTTACATTTTCCTCTTACTGATGGTAGTCTGTATTATATTTCTTTTGCTTTTAAAAATTTATTTATTTTACGTACGTGAAATCAGTAATTACATTAATCTATAAAAAGAAATTTAAGAATTTTAGAAGGAATTTAGGAAGGAATTTTTATTCTTGCCTTGAAACGAAACCTTGAGATGTTTCGTGTAGATTTCCGATGTTAATGAATCTAATCGAGTTTATATATCACGTTAGGTTTGTATATAAAAAAGACTAATGTATATTATATTGCATGCTTTTATTATATATAAAAAACATAATTATAACTGATTATATCTGAACAAAAAATGAAGATTGTAAATAAATCTTGACAGAAAAAGGCACACTCAAATTTTCAGCGTACTTATTCATAGTTCTTTCATTCGGATAAAAATAATAACAATTATATGCGATAAAAAGAATAAAACAGGCAATAAAATACGCATTTTATGCTCTTTTCTTGAAATCCATGATGTGATACATAAATTTAGCAGTCATTTATTTCTAGCGTTCAAATATCTACACGATACATCCCGTTCCAAAGTCAGAAAAATATTTTTTATAAACTAGTGTTTTTATAAACGAGAATAACAAAACATCAAATAATTAATGTAATTAGTAATTGTATTCACGTAATATTCTGCGCTTTGTCTCTCATCCTTTTCTCACTTATAAATCATAAAATATGTAGCTGTTTTACGTTGACGAGCATAAAAATGTGCAAGAAGATACGGATAAAGCGAACAGGCTTTCTTGGATCCCCTTCTAATAACAATGAAACGAGCATCAGTAATGTTAACGATGTATTTGTCGAATAAGTAACACTCGAATGAATGACACCGGAATGAATCCGAGCCCTTCATTAGCTTGACCAGCTGTCCCGCGCGATGAGAGACACGTGTGTCTCTTAACATCGTTATGCGTGCGTTATCAGTTTATCACCTACCTCATCCCTCGTCTTGTCTCTCACTCGCACGAGGGTCGTAAATACGTTTACTAGTGGCAATTGATTCGCGCGCATCGAGGAGGAATCCGGCTAAAATAGTCGGCAAATTGCTTTCCGGCCTGCTGAGATCCATCGATTTTCCAAATTTGAAATCGATTACATGCTTTAATCATCCGATTTCGAAGCTTCTGACTCGGATTTTTGTAAGCCGAAAATACAGAAAGCTTTATATGTATACGTAAGCAATGTACACGTAGGCAATTGTTAGTTTGCACATAATTAAAGAATAATAACTCTTTGACGATAAAAAGTAATTTGCTAATTTAAAAAAGATTAATTTATATAATTATTTATATAATTTTTTCGATGCTATTATCTTACACTTAAAAAGAACAATTCTACAATTCTACTGACTGGATTTGATTTAAAAATTAAATATTGATCTGAGAAATAA